CCATGTGAATTCATGGATTTTTTTTTCACATTCTGTCTCTCACAGTTGAAGTGTACCTCTGGTGCAAATTACTGACCTCTGTCATCATTTTAAGTGGGGAACTTGCACAATCGGTGGCTGACTAAATACTTTTTTGCCCCACTGTAGATGAAATTTCTTAAGAATGTGGTCACTCTCAATTTTGACTGGCAGTGATGGTGACTGGCTTTTAAAGGGCTTATTTGGCTTTTATAAGACATGAATATCATGCATGCCAGTTTTGGTAAAGATTAGAAAAGAGGGCGTCTGATAAGTATTGAAAAAGCGGTGTTGCAGAGCTCTTTGAGCCCAGATAGAACCAAAGAATCCAGCGCCCAACAAAGTATATGGAAAATGCTAGTTCACCTTCAGCCCATTATTTGTACTGGAGTGATACAGAAAAATGGTTTCAATATTCAGGGCTCTGTCCCCAGTCGCTGTGTGAGAATTCAAAACATTTTACCAAATGGTGCTCTGGTTGCTTTAGATTCCAGTCACAGAATAGGAAGAAGAGAAGTTTTGTTGCTTTGCCTATAATAACAAGTTTATGAGGAAGTCGTTTCATTGACAATAATATTGTCAGAACTATACTGATAACCCAAGCATGCATTTTCACATGAAACTTAGTAAACCACAGGCTTAATGGCTTTGTTGTGAGATATTGTAAAAGGGAAGGGGACTATACAACTTCCTTCTTGCACATACATCTCTTTGCTCTGCTCTTAATAGATATACAGTAATTCATTTTCTTTTCCACTTTCACGCTGCACTCCAGGAAAGACATAAAAATATAAATGTGTAATATTCACAGTAACGGCTGTAAAATTAAAGTAGTGTTTCTCTCTCTCTCTCTCTCTCTCTCTCTCTCTCTCTCTACAGGATGGTACAGAGGATTCATCCTGAAGAACCCAAATGTGAAGGTGAAGAAACCTTTCCATGATATTTTTTTTCTCATCTTGCCTACTTATGCTCTCAGTAAACCTGATTCCCTCTCGCTGTATTAGCTGGTGTCATGCATTGAATTGAAAGACTCTCTTGGAACTGTCATTGTTAGCGAAAACTAGCACGTTCACTAGCTGAGTTGACAGATGTTAGCAGGAACACCTGTCTTTTCGTCGTATGACTTGTCAGGTTCCCTACTTTGAAAATTGCTCTTAGCAGCCCTGCATATAGTTTGGTGACACTGTGTGATTTTCTCTAGTGCTCCACCCAACATCAGAGTTATAATCAGCCAGATCTACTCAGACAAGTGGAAACACCTGTTTGTGTGCACACTTAAACAACAGCGGAGGAGAGGTTTCTCTTTCACTACGAACAGACATGCTGCTGATACACAAGTACACTGATGTTAGCCAGGAAATGTCTAGAAGTGTTCAAAAGTCTTGAGCTATAAAAATAATTTTAAAGGTGGTCTTAAGCAATAGTTCTCCAGGATTTCTGAAGGTGCTGCTTTTTCACTGATTTTCACCTTCCAGTCCTTGTACCTAACCATTTTCAGAGGAATCGTTTTTTTGTTGAGCCACTCGTCACTAATCTATGAATCACTGAAACATAAAAAAGGCACCTAACCCAAGGGATGAATCAGTGTTGAGTCTGCAAATAACAAACAACTTAGCAACAAAACTATCTTTAGTCACTTGGTTGCTAACAGGCTGTAGTAAAAACACAGCCTGTCTAGGTTGTTGCTGTTTCTTTAGTTGAAGAAAAAGCCCAAGTGATTACTATAGAAGTTACCTGCATACTTGGCATTTCTTGACATGGTCAGGTGTTCTTAAAGAATTTGAGGAAACTGGAAAAAAGAAGAAGTAACAGGCCTAAAAAAAGGCTACAGCAGATGAACAGAACTGAAAGTCACGTCTCTAAGAACGAGGAAGAATTCCAGCAAAGATCTGACACAGGACCTGAGAGATCAATTGATCCAGCTACTCTTTGCTGAAGCCTCATCAGAAACAATCTCAGTGGAATGCAGTATACAGTAAATGCATGTAGTAATGCAGTAAAAACACACAATGGAACATCATTAGTCATGGATTGAACTCCTCAGAGATCCCAGAGTGTGGGATCATGTTGACAGAAAATTAAACAAAATGAAGCCAACATCCAACAACATCCCACCAATGTCCATCAGGAAGCTTGGAGAACTATTCCTGCAGACTACTTAAAGAAATGAAAAGAAAGCTTGACTGAGAGAGTTTAGGCCGTGTTGAAGACTAAAGGTGGCCATACCAAATATTGATTTTAAATATTTTGAAACAAAAAGCTTTTTGATTTTTGCGTATATGCTGTATTTCCATATATATTTGGACATTTTACAATAAATCGCTGTACCTGTTACCTATTTTCCTAGAAATATATAAAGAAATCAGGGGTGGCTCAAGACTTTTGCACAGTAATGTATGAGAGAGAAACTCTAGTACAAATCCCAACATCCCGTTGTTGTAGGATAAATGTCCCAACTATCCCCCAAAAAGTTCTCTGTGTAAACCTAGCTGTCGCACTGATTAGATACAATGTAAGAGACAAACGTAACCGTCAAATAATCCTGAAATGAGCAAAGTCAGCAAACTTTGTAAGCATTTAAAAAAAAAAAAAGAAAAGAAAAGAAAAAAGGTCGGGGGTTGATTTTTATACATCATGTTTTACTGCCTTAATTAAGTTAATTTAGTTAATACTTGAAAATAACTGCCCGGTTAAGTACCTGGAGGTGTTTTAGGATGAGTGCTGAATGGCAAGACTTTTTTTCAGGAACTGGGATGAAGCAAACCTAGAGAAACAGGAATATATAGTTTTTTTTTAATACGTGCCAAGAGATGATATCAAGATAACCCAGAACTTTGTTTCTCTATTTTAATTTAATCTACTTTTTAAAATTATTAAGTGCAATTGAATATAAATGAATCCAAATCTGACAAGATGTTAAATAACTTTCAGCCACCACCAATCGCATGAATGATCTACCATAAAACCACCTGTGCGCAGATTGTGGAAATTAGATTCATAAGTCATAATGATTAATTTTTTTATTACCACCACTTCCCAAAAAGTCAAAACCCAACTTGAGATATACTCAAACTATATCACTGGGGGCGATGACATCCCAACTTCCCAACAAAAAAAGAGTAGTGCGTGCAGTCAGTCTGATATTTTTACGACTTTTAAAAACTCATGTGCAGAATAATATATTATAATAAGAGCCAACTGTGTTTGTGTTTTGCAATACTGCAATACTACTTTGATCTTTCCCAAGTCAGTGGGGACATCTTGCAGTTTATTAGCATCAAACAGCACGTGCGCACACACCAACAGCTTTTTAAAACCTTTGCTTGTCTACTAAATGTCATTGCTGCTTGCCTTTATGCTTCTGTTCCCTCCATTTTCCTCTGTTTTCACAAACACTCTTAACCCTGTATTGATTATGTGCATCGTTTTCCCATCCGCCGCCGTTAAATGCTAATTACAACGGGAAGCAAATGACTCTCGGAGCATTCTCATTAACCTGTTTATCTTCTTGACTAAAGGGGATTTTTCCATCCAGCTACATCCACTTAAAGAATGCCCACGTCAAGAACAAAGGGTAATGTTACATGTCTTTCCTTTGGTTTTCTTTCCCTGTTTGTTCATATTGTGGTTTTATATTTAAGGTTACGTTATTTAATTCTCGTTCCTGTGCTGATGTTTGTTTGTAGGCAATTCGAGACAGTCATCCCTGATGAAGACTCTGTCATCACAGAGATGACATCAACTCTGCGAGACTGGGGTGCCATGTGGAAGCAGCTCTATGTGGTAAGAACTCTTACACATAACCGCACGTGCACACTTTGCATCGATTTGTCGTCACTGCTGCTTAACTGAAACTGCAATTTTTGAGTTCATTTGGCCCTGGGTAATTCGGAAAGCCACAAACAGTCAAAGCTTTTTTTTTTATATGCATTCATTAGTCGGATTGATTGTGTTTGTGGCCTATTAAACTATCTGGGGTGCTGATTAAATTGAGCTGATGAATACGTCTAGATCAAAGTGCATGCATTTGCAGCAAAAAGCAGCAGGACACTGAAGCTAATTTGCACAAATCCATTTTAAGCTCTTCTTGTCTTCTCTGTCTGGGTCGCTGTCTTCTTCTCAGTGTCAATTTGGTTCTCTAATGTGCATTCCGTCACTTTTCATGTTTTCACTTATGTTTTTGGGTGGCAGCGTTGGCACAACTGTATATTTTGATCTCCTTATCTGTGCCTTTCCTGTTGTCATCCTCATTCTGTCTTCAGCTGATTATGAATTTTTCCTTTTATTCGTTGCCTTTGACTGCTATTCTTCTCATTTCTTTTCCACCCCCCTCTTCTTTTCTCCCCTATTCCAAACCTACAGAAAAATGAGGGGGATTTGTTCCACCGGCTTTGGCATGTGATGAATGAAATCTTGGACCTGAGGAGGCAGGTGCTGGTTGGCCACCTCACTCATGACCGTTTGAGGGACGTCAAGCAGCACATCACAGCAAGATTGGATTGGGGCAACGAGTGAGTAGAATAAGGGCAGTGAGAAGGTTTACAATGTCCACATGTGGCTTTTAGACATGTTTGCGTTGTTCCTTTTCAAGAACCAATAATTCATTATTTAAACTGCTTCTACCACTGATGATTTTGATTTTAGGTGATTTAAAGGGGCTTGCTATGCTCATTTCCAACTTACCTTATTGTATCCTTATTCATCTTATAGTGGGCTTTTGCTCCCTGGGTCACTCTGTGTCTGAAACAATCCAGTTTAGCTCCTTTAGCCCTTCCTGAAACCCAGCTTTCTCCTGATTGGCTGCCTCTCACAAACAGAAGGTTTGGAGAGCAAATGGATGGGGCTTCTGACATTCAAGAGTGAATTTTTTTGGTTTACAGGGTTACTTATACATATGATGACCTCATTATCTATAGCATAGGTCACATTTAATAGAAGCATCAGCAGAATTAAAGGAAAAAAGCTCCTCTCTAATAGTTCAAAGTACAAATTTCCACAGAGGGACCAGGGAGCTTATTTTATTAACTCAGCAGCCTTATCTGTGTTAAGGATGTGAAGCAAAAAAAATGGCAAGGGATTTTTTTTGGCCTAAATGAGGTTGTTGGGCATACTTTCTGGTAAGGATGCCCTAATCCAATACAGATATGAGTAACTCACTGGATATATTTCAATACTGATATAAATCCAGCATTAGTGGGCGTTCTTTTTCCCATTTGTAAAATGACTAGATCCACAGTAGAAAATAATTAAGTTAAGTTTAAGCCTTAAGTTTGACATTTTGGCTGTTATCTTATCTTGAAGGTGGATGTGACCATATTTAAACTCAGCTAATGCCTGTTAGCTTGGATAGCAAAGTGCATCAATGAAGTGAGGATATTAAAGATCAAATATGACACCTGTTTGAACTGGATTTAACAGGCTAAAAACTATATGAACTTGCTATAAAGAATGAACAGCTGTCTCCTTGTGCCTGATTTGAACTTCTGAGGGTAGCTTTTGTAGAGCCTACGACGTAACCTAGGTCGTAGCCCGCATTTATGCTTGTGTTTGGTTACGTTTTAAACCGGAGTTAGACGGGAAATTAACATCCTAACTTACGACTTAATAGGAATCCCACACCACAAACTTCCACACCAATCAAGCCGTTGCGTCGTGTTGTGTCGACCTGGCGTGTAGATATGTTTCACTGGAGGTGCACGTCAGGTTATGTGAAAGGTTACAGCGTTTCCAGCTGCATAATTATTATAATTATAATTAGCGCAATTGAGGCATTACCATGTGGTCGTGTCCTGATGTTTCATATGCAATGCCCCATCCTGTAGTAAAAAGCACGGTTGTCACTGGCCAGTTCAGTACTGCTACTTCTGTGCCTTTCTGGCAACTTTTTTTTTTTTGCCAGTTTCTGAATAATCAATAAACAATCCCTGTTTCAATATGATAAATACAAGGATTCCCAAATGTCAGCGATTCCTGAAGGGAGATGGCTGAAACTACCAAAATGGGCTGAGGGAATGTACGAAGAAGTGGAAAAGCCTGAGTGACATATCATTGAATATTTAAATGGAAATAAACAGAAAAGAAAATAGATCCAAAACTGATGACAACAAAGAGTGGGGACCCAGGAAAGCAAAAGGAAGAAAGGTTAAATGAGAGGTTGCAGCGTAGATTTCCTGTAAATCACCTATCAAGAGTGAAGATGATTTTTTTTTTTCCTCTCCCAGTTTTGAGCTTGCCACTGATTCTTGTGATGCCGAAAACTGTTAGTTTTCAGACTGATAGAAAAACCACTGAATTTTAACTTTAACGAGGATTGCTCTTGCAGTGGCCAATATTCTAGTACTTAATATTGTAATGAGACAGATCTGGCAAATCCAGTCAGTGCGTTCGTAGTTCAGTTTGCTTGATGTTCCATCAGCACAGAAATCCTTTTTAGCAGCTGACTTGAAAAGCTTGGCACTTCTTTGAATATAATTCTTTCCAACCTCTGCTCTCGGTTGCGTAACTGCAGTGCAGTATGACAGTCTTCCACAAAATAAATGAATGAGATAAATCAAACTTTATGTGGACTGTGAGGGAGAACCTGCAGAGTTTAAAGTTTTAAAGAAAGTTTTTTTGTTGTTTTGTTTTGTTTTTTTACTGCAGGCAAGGTTGTGTAATCAGTCTAAAAAAAAACCTCACTATACTTTGAGAATTATGAGGAATATTTTTAGTTACTGACACACAGTAAAATCTGTGAAGCCACCATGACAAGCTGGCTCTTCCATTATAAGCAGTGCTGCTCATCTAACACTTGAAGGAAACTGCATTTGGAAATAAGAGTTTCATCTCTCATTTCTTTCTCTGCTTCTTTCCTGGAGCTTCTTGCAGCTTTCTAATGTCCCTCCTTCTTCCTCAGCCTCTCACTCTTCTTTTCAACTTTCCTTTCTCTTCTGCCTTTTGTTGTCACCTACCCTCCCCGTAGGCATACTCTTCACTCAGTACTCTTTCCCGCACACAGACAGCACTCTCTCCATCCTTCCTTTCACTTTGCTTTCTTCTTTCCATCCTCTCTGTGCTGTGGGGGTGCAATAGAGAGAGAGAGAGAAGGACAAAAAAAGAAATCCTCACAACTCGTGTCCCTCTCTCTTTCTGTCTGTCCTTTACCCTTCGCTCCCCTTCATTTCCCTGCTGTGGGCCTTCTTCAAACACACGCACATGCTTCACATCCCTCCCCAGCGATGAGCATCCCTCGCTGCTGTATGGTTGACCTGGCCTGTCTCTCTTATTGCCGAAAAGGAGACACACTCAAGTGTGCTGTTTTGGTCCACTAATACCACCGACCAGGAGGATGGGAGCATGTAAGAGTTGGTGTTTATGGTACAACAAGAATGTAGTGGAACAGGCAAGGTTAAATGATGGAGGACAGGAAAGAGGATAAAGAGGACAGTAGGCATAGCAGGGGGCTAAAGAGAGAGGATCTTTTCTTTCATCTGCTCCACAGAGGAGCTGTCAAATGTATTTAGGCGACTGACGGGTGATGTGACAGCTGTGCTTTGAGTGTTTGGGTCTGTTCGCTTTGTTGTTGATGCTCAGTGCAGCTATAAAGTAGCATCTTAATTAACACTCAATTGCAATCCATGTGCTGTGTTATCTGTATGTATTTTGCAGCTTCAGTGTATTAATACTCTCTGTGACTTTGTGTTTCAGACAGCTTGGCTTGGACCTGGTCCCGAGGCGAGAGTTTAGTATGGTGGACCCCGATGAAATCAGTGTCACAGAGCTTTACAGACTGGTAAGCGTCCTCACAGTTCTTCTCTGTTCTCAGATTAAGATCCCATCCAGGGTGCAGATGCGTAAAGGAGCTGGTCTCTTCTAGATTCATCTTGGAAAGAGTACAATAAAATCTCTATATTCAACACAGCTCACTAGACACACACAAAGTAAAGAAAGCAATGCTCTGCTGGGAGGTTGTTGCCCTGCAGTGTGGACAGTGATACTGAATGACAGTGACATCGATGGCAGGAGTTTGGATTGGTGGCCTTAGAGTTCCTGTGTTATTTTCCTTTTTAATGTCCAGTGTATTTACAATTTAGAGCCAGTGGCTTAGGCTGGATACAGGATGTAGACCATGATACAGATCTATTTAGGGTTACTGTTGTATTGTACACAATCTATCCACTTTCTAATAGGAACTGTCATTTGATGCCAAGGGTAACTTTATACAACAGATGGCAAACAACCAAAACATGTCTGACCTCTGAATATATTGTACTTGGTTTGATCTTGCCAACCTCTAAGTGGATTTAAGGAACTGTCTATCACTGACAACATCTGTCAGCTTCTTTCTCAAAGCTGACAGATGTTGTCAGATAGATAGCAGAGGCCGTGTATGAACTAGCTGCCCGCATAATACCTTGCTGCCTTGGCACAGCAGACATTATGGACCTGCTATACTCACTTCCAGTTTCATATTTTTTTACTCTTTGACTTTACAAAATTGACACCTCAATTTTCTGTGGAACATTTCAGTTCATTGTGTAAAAGTAGCTGCTTTCGCATCCGTCTCTTTAAGCCCCCGCTTCAAAAAAAAGGATGATGGGGTTCTGATTGGCTCGCCTAGCTTCCTCAAACAGAAATTGGTGCTCGTGGGTACTGCTTCTCACTTCACTTATGTGCAGTTTCTGAAAACACCAGGCTGAGAAGCATAATCTACCACTCCTTGTACATGTAGATGCCAGAGTCTGAGTTTTTGGGACAGAAATTGGCAGAAAATGATGAAGATGCAGGATGATCTGTTAAAAGTACCATCGTGGGACCCAACAGTGGACTAGTGTTTCAGTCTGTGTGAACCCGTATTTGTACCTGTACAAAATACATGACGGGAATGTGCTAGAAATTGATAAAAGTAGAAAACTCTGGCTGCTATGAAATACCAAAGGTAGCACAGGGAGAGTCTCATCAGGGTTGGCTGCATTACCATCTGACTATGATACAACTGCTGGAGCTGATTATGGAGTCTCAAGCTGGTACTAAGTGGCAACATCCGGAGCTGAATAATTAAGTAAACGCTTAAGTGACAAGTCTTCAATTCCCCCAGCTTATGGTGCAAACCTTGAGTGGCCGGTTTGCACCATAAGCGAGTCAGTCAGCATCGACTAGAGAGTTAAAATGGGTGATGTTACAACACTGAAAAACATGTTTTTAGTCTGGTACAGAAAACAGCAATTATCTCCCTGGGTAAGTTCTTCCTTTGTAACAGCTCTACTGAAGTTTTTTTTTTTTTTTTTAAACACTCTTAATAACTCCATCTGAGTACTGGAGTTAGGTTCATATCTGCTTTGACTGAGAGGTGTCCCAACAAAGGCAGATTGATGCTAATTGGAGTCACAGAGCTGGATCTCTCCATCATGTCTATGCTGCAGGTTATAAATGGTTGGAAGTAGAGCAACATTTCTTTGACTTTAGCACAGTTAATATGAGCATACACCGCTGGGAAAGTATATGTGTGTGAGAGAGAAGAAGGAAAGGCACAACAGGGCCATGGTCCAGTTTGAAATTGAAGAGCAGCTTATATAAAAATCTATGGCACTGATCCCTAACAGTTATAGGACTGCTGTAAAGGATGCTGAAGGATTTCGCTCATAGTATTTAATAACCTTTTTTGAGCTTTTTTCCACATGTTTCTCTGCATTTTACTGAGCTGTTAACATATCCGCTTTCTCCCAGAACCTTGAACACGTCTCGGTGTTGGCTAAAGCTTTGGGATTGGAAGTCCATGCTTGACCCTTAGAACCAGCATTTGGCAAAACAAATTTAGAGTAAGCTCAGCGAGTTACTGATACCACTCTCATCCTCGCATGAGGTACACTTGATGGACCGATTTTTTTTTTCTTTTCCCCCTCATCCATCTGCTTCTGTATTTCTCTCCTTCCTTTCCCTACTGTTTGCTCCCTGCCTCTCCTTCCCACTTTCTCCAAGCCCCAATCGCTGCTACCATGGCAACCACTTCTCTGCCCTCATATGGTGTGGGGGGAATTGTATCACACACACACACGCACACACACTCTGTGTCGGCTCTTTCTTCGCAAGGGTAATTGAAGCTCTTAATCCATCTGTTATTTTTTTTTGTTGTTGTCAAAACAAAAGCAGGAAAAGCACAAAGAAAGCTTTCTCCACCTCTATTAAACGGTGTATAAAATAAACAAGCGACTACCATTTCTCCATACTGGGTCGAGATAAAGGGGCAGGCATTCACCGCCGCCATCCACTTACGAAAATACGCAAGGAACCCTCACACCAAGATGCAATATCTCAATGAGCCCAAATTACATCAATATTTCCCCATGAGATCTTTGTGTGTGAGAACCGCGTCTTTGTTTCTGTCGGTGCTTCTGCGGCGTGGCTTAATTAAATTGACATGGGGATTATGCGGTGTCTCTGTGTGTACTTGTGTGTGTGTTTGCCTGTGTGTGTGTGCTGAAGTGCCAGTGCGGTATTACTGTAGGAAAATGTGGCTTAACTGCTGCATTGTTTCAAGGAATTGTGTGATATCTGCTGAGTGAGAATGAAAACAAGCAACAACACTGGATTAAAAAGAGATTTTATGTACGCTTGTAAATGCCTTAATGCTATCTCATAAACCCTTCTCATTCTATATAATGAGAAACAACACTGTAAATGTAAACATGGTATATGCATGCCAATTTAAGTCTATTTAAGAAAAGAAAGGAAAAGTAATTACAGGGTCATAGAAGGTGGTGGTATTCCTAGCAAAAATTCCAAGCTTGTGGATTTATGAGAAAAACCCCAGCTCTGTATTTTCTGATAATAAAATAATACGTCTACAAGGAAAAAACCCCAAATGTAATATTCTTTTTTCCCATTTTTCCCTTGAACAAAGAAGGTACAACATCTACATATGGTGATAGTGATTATTCACAGGCAGCAGTACCTCAGGTAGTAGTTTTCCTTGCTCAGAATGGGCCTTTTGGGGTTGGGTAGCTGTGCCTATAAGTATTATTTGATACTTCAGTCTGTGTTACTGCACATAACAGAAATACATACATTTTCTTCTTATTGCTGGCCATTTGAAAAAGTATTCAAAAGCGTTATATCCTTGACTAAATAATTTCCTGATGATTTTCCTCTGGGGTACATTCACAGCTCCTTTAGTGTGTGCCAGGAGAAACCCTGTATTAGTGACTGTCTGGAAAAGCAGCCTGAAAACATATGCTTCCCTGAAGAATTAGTGAAGAACAGCATAGTGAATCAACAATTTTCTCTTTTTGTCAGATTAGGGGAAAGAAAAAACCCTACTTTGTAATACCATACGACAAAAATGCATTAAAACTAAATATTTGTGGAGATGGAGGACCAGATTTTTATTGGACTTAAATCCTTTAAACAGACACTTGTTGAAGCATTATATTTGGTTGTAGCTTTAAAGTGAAAAAAAAAAAGCCTTTATGTCTAATTAGCTCATGCGAGTCATGTGTAGAGCAAAGACTAATCAGCTTTAGGCTTTCCATTGTTTTCCTCTGGGACTGAGCTCAGAGCGTGAGCAGAGAAGACCCGGGTTTAGATCCCCCAGTGATGACTTCATTAACAGTGGAAGCTCACTCTGTAGTAATAGATCATAGCTCAGCTCTTTGCCCTGGACATGTGGCTGTAATATTTCTTCTTATGGTTCAGCTTATCACTAAAGAGAGACAAGCCCTCATACAGATCTTTAACTTCCTGCATGACTTTAATCCTCAAGTTTAAAAGAGGGATGAAAGGAGGCTTAAACATTAATGTAGAAAGGGAGAGAAAGAACAGCTACAAATTTGTGGCCTCAGTTTGACCTGTCTTCTCTAGAATTTCCTTGTCGTTTGACAGTCTGTGGGGCAGTTTGGCTGGCACACACACGGTCATGTTCTTGTTCTCTGTTCAGCTACCTCTCGGCCTCTCCTTGTTGACCACACCATTGTGTGTTGCCAGTCAGGCTGCCAGCCTGTCATGTCTATGCTTTGTGTCTAGTCATGCTGAAGCTGTCACAAAACCACACACTGTTCCCGCCGGGCTGCTGGCTGAAATGACACACTGAAAATAACCTCGTAATAAAATCCCACAGTATAAATTAGGCCTTCCTCAGACCTAGTAATTTTACGTCAGAACCAGGAGTTCAGCCCTGCTGGGAGTAGTTAGTCTTGCTGTTAGATAATTCTGTTTCTCTGTTTCTTTTCGGGGATCTCACACAAAAACAACATGTTTTTATAGTTTTGACAGAAACTGCAAAGGTAAAAGGATTTGTAGCATGGTTTTTGAGCACATTTAAAGAACTTGTTTCTTAATCTCACAAATTTTCACTTTAGTATGCAAATCATCATCTCCGCAGACAGATTTGTAAAGTTGAGCTAATCTGTCTGGCTGCAGGGAAAAACATTACAGGTCTTGTGACCTGTAATGCGAAGTGGTAGTGAAACTTGAGTGAATCTTGACACGTGGTGGCTGGAGTGACACGTTCTCTTTTTAACTTTGGTTTGTTAGCTTTTGAACTTTTTCAGTTTCATAGCCGCTTTGCTAATAGCTGAGGAGGGTGTTCTGACGAGTCAGTGTCTTCCATGCAAACTAAAGGCTACTTTAGCAATCTGCTAGCAACTGAAGCAATCATGAGGAGGTTTTTGGTACAGCATCCTCTTTGTGACCAATCTCACCCACTCTAGCAACTGTGAGCAACACACGTTTTACCCTAGCAACGAGAGTTGCCAGGAGGTCACTGACCTGTCTCTCGGTCAGAGAGAGCATGATTACTCGTGTGGGTGGGTGACTGAAGCCTTAAATGGAACTTCTGACTACATTTGCACATAGGGTAACTAACTGTGAATGTGACAGTATCCGTTAATACCTTGAATTAAGACATGACAAGTGTGTTTTAGTTTTAGTAAGATTATTTGTTGCCTGGTACGCAGCTTCATAATTCCTTGAGCTTGAAATGTTGCTTCCGACCAGTGTTGGTCAAGTTACTTGAAAAAAGTAATCAGTAACTAATTACTGATTACTTCCCCCCAAAAGTAATCTAGTTACTTTACTGATTACTTATTTTCAAAAGTAATTAATTACTTTTTA